TTTACAAGTGTGACTTGCTTCACACTCATAAAAAGAATTCTACTAGATGCGTGTCATCAGTACACTTGAACCTAACGCTCTGATACCAACTTTGTCATGATCCAAGTCTATACCATAATCAAGACAGGGTACTTGGAACCACAAGTAATCTCAAATTAACCATTGTCATACATATAAAATCATAACGTAAAGGAACCAAGCAAAATCTGAAATTCATAAGCGATTAATAAAATCTAAAAAATTCATGAAACTATATTTCTAACTATTTTAAAATAAAAATATAAGTTTGGTGTGTAGTTATGGGACTTGAATTTTCTAAACCTGTCCTCTCGATACTAAATAGTCCATCCAAAATAACATATATTCATATAATGCTCATAGGTATATAAACCTCTGATCATCTTGAATCATAAATAATGTTAACATCAAAAGTACTATCTTAAAAATAATTTGTATTTAGGTTGTATTTCAAGTTTGTTTTCATGCTTAAAAACCATAAGGGTTTTAATGAACCATAAAAGTCATACTAAATCAGTACCAAAAGGTTTCAAAATCAAAATGAAACAATGAAAGCATAGCTTATTAAAGAAAGAATATAATTTCATAAGAAAACCCTAACTTTAATTATATAAATATAGAAATATCCTTGAAGATCAAAATACTATAGGCATGAGATTGAAGTGATAACTCTCACTTAAGTCTCACATACTTTAGAGACTGAGATTTGAAAGAAGAACTTGTTTGAAAGAGTTGAAACTCTAGTTTCTATCTTGCTTAGTGTATTTTTAAAGTTTGAGGGAGTTGAGAGTTAAGGAATTGACTCTTAAGCGTGAAAATCCTTTTTAAGATGTTTGTAATGTAATGGCTTAGAATTAGAAAAAGTGGGAAAAGATCAAAAAAATTCCAAATGAAAAGTTGTCGAAAACCTTCCACAATGCCTTATAAGGGCTTTGGTTTGATGTACGTATTGTAGATCTTATCTGTGGAAGACAAACTGAAAGTTTCATTCTATGGGCTTAAACTACGACATGTAGATGCTTATATGATCCTTAACTGGCTTCGTAGGAATTGCACTCAAAAAATGATTTCCAAGACTTTATTACATGAGTGGATGGTACGGGTCATACTTTCATCTATAACCTATAGATGAGGTTTGTAGGTCATTGACTCTGAAACCTCTATTGTGATAGTCTTTGATAAAACGTCATAACCTGTACTCCGAACACTAAATAAGGCAAATTTGGTGGCATTGAAAAAAAATCATAATCCTTTAATTTGGTAGGTTATGAGCTACCTAATTCATTTTATGCAGAGAGATATGATCACTTGAAGTTGACTCTTGCATGAACTAATGAAAAAAACATAGAAGGTAGGAAGATTTGAACTCGAGTAAGTACTAGAGATATCTTATGACCCAAAACCACTTTGAATACACTTTCACACATAGAAATGAACCTTGACACATAAATAAATAGGACATCACTCGATTCAAGCTTATATACTTATGATGAAAGATTCAAATTCAAATAATAGAGTGGAAAGATGTTATAATTTCTCCTCATGAGATCATTCGTCCTTGAATGAACATCAAAGCTAGAATAAACATGTGAATTGAGTAATTTATGATTCTTTGATCTATTTTGCTTTATATATTAGCATAAACTAAATTTTACCAATAATATGGATCTAGCTAAAAAAATAAGGAATAAGAGAATTTCATCTATAACTACGAGTATAAGAAACATACGATAGTTCATGTAGCTGAAGTAGATCTGGAATTTGCTGTTACACTCGATCCCTAAAATGAATACAGATTTTGCGCCGTCTAGTTTTCCCCCTTTTTTAGATTCACAAGAAGGTACTCATACTAAGAGAATTAGGGTTAAAGGTCTAATGGATAATGGGCTAATGGGCTAATGTAGAGTTGTCAAAAATGGAATTGAGCCGCGAGGCCGGCCCAACCCAACCCTTGAATTAAGTGGGGTTGGGCCTAATTTTTTTTGGTTCATTTAGGAACGGGGCTTTTTAGCCCAGCCTCACTTGGCCCGCTAGCTTCGTAGGCCCAACCTGCAAGCCTCAGAGCCTAGCCCGTGGGCTATGAATATTTTAAAATATTATATATATATATATATATATGTACATATACATATATCTACATACATACACACACACACACACCGAAGTGTGAGATTTATAAATATATTTATGTGTATTCGTTGAAGTGTGTGATTCATAAATGAAAATTTGTATGTATTGATGTCGTGTTCATAGACGTCAACATTCTATACTCTTAGATATTCATTCTAATAGAGTAATATTGTCCATTTTTTTATTGAAGGGTCAACCAGGGCCCGCTTAGGGATGGATAGGGCCTATTTATTGGCCCTTTAATTAAAGGGAAAATTATTGGAATGACAAACAT